AAAGGATCCTCCTGCCTCAGCCTCTCAAGTAGCTAGGACTACAGGTGCACGCCACCATACCTGGCTAACTTTTGTATTTTTGGTAGAGATGGGGTTTTGCTATGTTGCCCAGGATGGTCTTGAACTGCTGGACTCAAGCAATCCTCCCACCTCAGCCTCCCAAAGTGCTGGGATTACAGCTGTGAGCCACTGTGCTGGGCCTCAGGCATCTGTGTTTTAATAAGCGTCTCTATGTCTGATGCAGAAAGAAGTGTAGAACTCATGGACTAGAGTTAGTTTGCTCTTCTTTTCCACTGACTGTAATGTCTTTTGCTTTTTTTTTTGTCTTCCTTTTTGTGGAAAACGGGGTCTCGCTGTATTGCCCAGGCAGGTCTTGAACTCCTGGGCTCAAGCTATCCTCCCGCCTCTGCCTCCCTGAGAGCTGGGATTACAGGTGTGAGCCACCGTGCCCGGCCTGCATTGTCTTTCAAAACACGTTAGAGGAACTGTAAGGCGACTGTCTCATTTGACAGTGGAGGAAACTAAAGAAAAGGCAGGTGACTTGCCTAGAGTTATACAGCTAAGGGCAGAGGCAAGACTTAAAACCCAGCATTCTGACTCCCAGTCCACTGCTTTTCCACTCACATTGTTCCTCTCTTTCTCCTAGTTGTGGGGTCCCCCCCGGGGATTTCGTCCTGAGCAGATCCTGCAGCTCGGTCGGCTCTTAATCGGTCTAGGAGATCGGGAACTACAGGAGCTGATCCTAGTGGACTGGGGAGTGCTGAGCACCCTGGGGCAGATAGATGGCTGGAGCTCCACTCAGGTAACACCTTTCCTCCTCCCTACCACTTCCCAAACACCCATCCCACAGACCCAGCCCTGTAGATCATCTAAAGCCCAAGGAATTTTTTCCTGTGACCCTACCTGGTCATTCTTTCTATCTTTTGTTGATACCCCCTACTAGTGACCTTCAGGACTCTGATTTATTCACTCTGAGGCCCTGAACACATAATACTGTCTCCTACCTCTTTTCCTGGAGGCCTCTTCTTTTTCTATCCTTTTCTTTTCTGAGGCCTCAGCCTTCCCCGTGACTCTTTAGGTCTTAATAGTAACAGAGTGTAACCCAGCAACACCTATCACTTCCCTGTCCATTCATTCTCCATAACTTTTCTCCTTCCCCTCTGCCCCCAACCCCCACCCCAGCTCCGCGTTGTGGTCTCCAGTTTCCTACGGCAGAGTGGTCGGCATGTGAGCCACCTGGACTTCATTCATCTGACAGCGCTGGGTTATACGCTCTGTGGACTGCGGCCAGAGGAGCTCCAGCACATCAGCAGTTGGGAGTTTAGGTCACTTGTGAAGGGGCTGTGGGTGGTGGTGCTGAGGTAAAGGTGGACTTACTGGGGAAAGAAGGATCATGAAGGTCTGGTCCCATGGAGGAAGGGAACTCATCTGAAGCCATCTCTTCCTTTGTCTCATGACCACAGCCTCTTTCGCTGAAGCTGAATTCTTCTTCCTTCCTTCCCACTGTTCTACAGCCAAGCAGCTCTCTTCCTGGGCACCCTGCATCTCCAGTGCTCTGAAGAACAACTGGAGGTTCTGGCCCACCTCCTTGTACTGCCTGGTGGCTTTGGCCCAATCAGTAACTGGGGGCCTGAGATCTTCACTGAAATTGGCACCATAGCAGGTGGGGAGCTGGGCTACTGCTGGTGCAAGTTGGTTTGGTTTCTATACCATGGGTGGACTGGATGGAAGACTGCCCTGCAATTCTTAAAGTGGGGACCTGAGAGGGTGTTTAAATAAGGGGCTAGAGACATACTGGGGAAGGTCTACGGTAGGGCACTTTGGGAGTAGTTAGAGAAGGTCTATCTGTTTGAAGAGAAGGAAGGTGAGTCTAAGACAATGTTTGGATGCCACTTGCTTCAACAGCTGGGATCCCAGACCTGGCTCTTTCAGCACTGCTGCAGGGACAGATCCAGGGCCTTACTCCTCTTGCCATTTCTGTCATCCCTCCTCCTAAATTTGCTGTAAGTATTAATGGACTGGGGTGACCACAGGAGAGCCAGGGCCCAACTGGCATGCACTGATTCCTACCCCTGCCCCCAGGTGGTGTTTAGTCCCACCCAACTATCTAGTCTCACCAGTGCTCAGGCTGTGGCTGTCACTCCTGAGCAAATGGCCTTTCTGAGTCCTGAGCAGCGACGAGCAGTTGCATGGGCCCAGCATGAGGGCAAGGAGAGCCCGGAACAGCAAGGTGAGTTCCCAGCTGCACAGCTTGAGCCTCCGTCTCCTGACCCCGAATCAAACCCCTAATCTGGTGCTGTCTGGCTCTTAGAGTGCACCCAGGGAGATCCCTGGAGTGAAGGAGTCTACAGGCAGAGCGCTAATTTCCAAGTATCAATGCTCCTGGAGAGCACAGTTGTGATATGACTCCCATTCCCTGTCTATTATAGGTCGAAGTACAGCCTGGGGCCTCCAGGACTGGTCACGACCTTCCTGGTCCCTGGTATTGACTATCAGCTTCCTTGGCCACCTGCTCTGAGCCTGTCTCTACAGTAGAAGGAGATTGTGGGGAGAGAAATCTTAAGTCATAATGAATAAAGTGCAAACAGAAGTGCATCCTGATTATTTTCAGAAGCTGATGAGGAATATGGGTAAAATGTTAATGCTTTCCACCCACCTGAGAACCAGTGTTCCCAGGATGCCATATCTGGAGTCTCTTTCCATCATAAATAATCCCACTGCCTCTTTTCATTTCCTGAAGCCTGCTCCCCTCCTCACCCCACCATTAGAAATAACATAGACAGCTGCAGCATAGCAAGGAGTCTTTACTAGGATGGAGGCAGGGGATGCGGGGGCAGGTCCAGAGCAAGTAGAAAGGGCCATCATTAGAATGAGCAGAACTCCTGGACCATTGAGACATCAGTTGGTGGGGGAGTTAATGCTTGGTGTGTGATGACAGGTGTGGGATCGGGAATATCCTGGCCTCTCTCCAGACGCCGTTTCACAATCAATCAAATAGTTCTACCCATCGATGACCAGCTGCACAAAGCTCCACCTGAAGGACACCTAACTTTGATCTCTGCTTCCTACCAATCTGAGGCTTTTCTTAGCACTGGACTGACTTGCTTGCTCATTTCCAGTTGCCTCCCCACTCGACCTGAATTTCATTTCAGATTATTTGCACATCCCGGAGTGCTCACTCCACTGTCCTATATTCAGCCCCCACAAGACCCTACATACCTCCTCACCCCCTACATCCCTTAGGCATCTCACCCTCTGAATTTTGGCCTAGTCGGTCCAAAATTAGAAATATCAAAGACCACCGCCTGTGCCGCAGCAGTGTCTCCACTCCTCCAGTATCCACGCTTTTGGAGTCTTCAGGTCTCCAGATCTTTGGGAAGCCGGTATCTCTAGAGAGGAGATTACGGGATTGGCACAAGGCCACGGTCGATAGAGGCAGAGACTAGTCCTACCTGAAAAGACGCCTGACCTGCCTCAAGCAGCTGCGTTGCCTGACTCTTTTTTTTGTTTCCCAACACGGATCTCTCTCTGGTCCACCCAGGCCTGGCAGTGATCACAGGCTTAAAGTGATCCTCTCACCTCAGCCTCCCACTACACCAGCTACCTTTCTGCACATTTATATAGACGATGGGGTTTCACCGGTTGCCTCCAGGCTGGTCCTTGACTCCTGGCGCTCCAGGTAAGCGCCCGCGCCTTGCCTCCCGACGTGCCTGGATTACACGGCATGACCACCGCTGTGCCTGGCCTGTCCCCCTGACCCCTTTAGCCACACACTCTTCTTCCCAAGGTCCACCTCCCTCCCAATCCACAACCCACCCTTCTACTCACACCCCTCTGTAACCCACCAATCCGCTTTAACTTTGCTCTAGAGCAGGGGCAGTTTGATGTGCACTCCTGCCCGAAGTCCAGTGCCCAGGTTAGATGGACGGTCAAGAGTGATCCCAACGCTCATTCACACATGACTCCCAGCGCACGTTTCTGGCATAATCTCCTCTCCACCTGAGTCCACACACAGGCTTTTGGTTAATAAAACCAGGGAACTTCTCATTAACCGGACCCTCCCTAGCTAGACACACAAGAACACTAGAAAATTGTCTAGAACGAAACTTGGCTGTGAATGATGACACTGGTCTTTTTTAATGAAAATGGCTTGTTATGTTTTCATGCATGCCATGTGAGCAAAAATACTGATGTGCATAATAAACTGAGATTGTGAAATATATGTAAGAAGCAAACTCGAGGGGAGGGTTAAGAGGGTGATCTAGGGAACACTAAGAGGTGGTAAACCTGAAACTGAGAGAGGACTGATTATTCAATGGAGTTCTGCATGCCATCAATATTCTTTGGCCTTTGCTAATGCAGCCTAGAGCTTGGAAGGGGTCCTTTCAGGACAGAAGCTGAAGGTGTAAGCTGTTGCCAGGAAAGGTAAGATAACGTTCTGTTCAGCTGTGAACGGAGCACCTGTGTCAATGCAAGAAAGATGAAAAACAGAGCAGAAAAGCGCAGTCTCATAGGGGGGCAAGGGGAGGCGTTTTGCTTCCAACTGTCACACCCAGTATCATGAAATACTTTGGAGTTGAAGAGACAAGGGATCTACAGAGTGACGCTCACACACGACTAACAAACCCAACGTGAGTAAAAGGATCCTGTTTATAGTTCAGAAAGAACCATGGCATAGGGCATATCTTACATGCTGAACATGGGGGAAACCCTTCCATCTAGAATAATAATGCAGCTAACACTTTAACACTTATTAAGCACTTACTTTGGACCAAGTACTTTATCTGTATTTCATTTAATCCCCACAACAACCTAAAATGTAGAAAATCTCATTATCCCAATTTATAGTGAGGAAACTGAGGCATATAATTTAAAGGTACTTCCCGACCCACTCATAGTCAGAATATGTTATCTATTACTTGCCTAAAATAGTAGAAACTTCTCAGAATCTAAAAGAGGAGCCCTTTTTCTTTGCAAACCTAAAATAGAACTGTATGTTTGAGAACATACAGTAAGAATTGAATTGAGTTTATGGGGATTTCTAATGTAGACTTGAATATGGAGACCCAGTCTATGTAGGATTGATGATTCAGTTCAACCTCTCATATAGAGCCACATATTCTAGAACTCGAACCATTCTATCCTCCACCTTCCCCAGTCTCTCTCCCAACTCTCAACTTAAAGCCTTGACCTGATACTCTAACAAGAATGATAGAACCCAGAGTCAAGGCCTACCTTGGCTCAGACCTGGATGGTTATATTAAAGTCGTGAACACAGCAACCTCTCCCTGCCAACATCAGTCTAAGCTCAAATGTTTTCCTTATCTGCACACCTCACCATTCCACTGCATACATCCCAGGCACTGACCTGACATCTCAGTTATTCCTTTCTTGCATTATCTGGCAACTGCCCTATTCACTTCCTAAGGTTCCTGACACTCTTTCTTTTCCTAATCTTAGGGTGACCACATGTCCTGGTTTTCCCAGTATGATCCCAGCTGGTTTATACCTTTATTCCTAGAGTGAGTCCTAGATAGTCCTTTTTACTATTAGACATGTCCTGGGTGGGTTGATAAATTACATAATCTATTTATGCTACTCTTTGGTTTTCCTTATGTCCTCCCACCTAGTTCCCCTACACAATCTTTTCCAACCTCTTTGAGGCCTCGGCAGAATCTTTCAAACACTCTCTTCATGTTGCCACCCTTCTCCATGGAGATGACCCGTGTATGATCCTCCTCATTCACCCAGATCAGGAAGCTCTTCTCATTGTTGTGCCTGAGGGCAGGAGAGGGACAGTGTTCAAGAGGCAAGGGAAGAATTGGGAGAGATAGAGGGGAAAAAAAAAAGCATTTATGAGGGCATGAAGACAAAAGAGGTAAGGAGCAGCCTCATACCAAATTCCACGAGCATCTGGCCAGTCTCGAGCCATTCCTGCTGCAGTCAGCAATGGGGACACAGGCTTATCAAACAGAAAGTGGTCCTGGGAAAAGTAACGGGACTTGGGTTAAGAATCTTCACGGTGGCCCCTGGGCCTCTCAGAGCCCATGTCTCATCTGGCCCAGCCTTCCCTCTGGCTCTTTTTTCCATCTGCTCCCACCAACCAGCGCCCTCTTAAGACCCTCACATCAATCAGCTGCTGCTGTTCAGCCTCTGTCATCTCACTGAGCCTATAGTAACGTCCAGCCAGGTCACCCTTCAGGCCACTCAGTGCATCCACCACAACACGTTCCACCTCCCGTCGCTCTGCTCGAGTGCAAGCTGGAGGCAGACTGAGTCCTCGGATGCTTCGGCCAGTTCTGACTCTAGAGGACAATACATACCTCTCATCAAAGTAGCCAGAACGGATCTGGGAGATAAGGGAAATGAATATAAGTCACAGAAACACGGTGGGAACTGAGGGCCCCTGGGAAAGGAGAGATCTTCCTTAGACATTAGAGGACTCTCTGTGCATTCTACTTCCGTGCATTGGAAGAAGAGGCCCATTGGGAAAGCACTCCAATTGAAGGGGGCATTACAGACCCTTCCCCAAACTGCCCACCTCGGGCCATAGTCATTCTTATCTATCCTTTCATCTCCATATATGCTGCCCCTTAAGATATGATTCTTTCCTTACATTAAGATTGAAACAGCTAGAGTGTAATGACCATGAGTCAGGAAATAAGGTAAAGTGGATGGATGGAGATACAGTGTTGTACACAAGCAAGGCAAATCAGAAGTGGGATATTTGAACTCACTTTACTGGCATCCAGATCCGTGGTGCTTCATTGTCCGGGTCATATCCATGTGTCGCTCTGTGATCACAGGTCAAACAGGTCAGCAAATTACCTAAGGGGAGTTAAGAGGGAGAGATGGTTAAGGAGAGGGATCCCTCCCCAGACTTCAACTGTGCATTGGATTTCACTGGTCAGAACATTAAGAATGGGGGGCTCAGAGTCTTGGGGAAAGTGAGAGGTCTTTAGGGGAAGGAGCTGGGATGGACTGGGAAGATGAGTTGGATCATCAGGGAGACTCTGGGGACCCCCTACCTCCATAGGTCCTCCTCATCTCCAGCCACCATGCCCACAGTCTTGATGAAGGGTGGCCAGGTTGTCCACGCCAGTCTGGATACACTGATCTAACGTCCAACCAGTGGTGTGGTCTTTGTCGCAGAGCCGGCATAGACTGCTGGGGTCAGGTGACCGGCCATGGAGTTGTTGTGCTTTCGGAGGTCTGGGTACTCAGCGCTGGGAGGGGGTACCCATGACCATGGAGGGAGGGCACAGACCCCTAGACCTAATGCAGTTACCTGGGAGCTGTCCAGTTGGCCATGTCTGGCTTTGCTCCGTGGAAAGAGGGGGGAATTAGAAAGAGGCTAAACCTTGAATCTCTTTAGGGACTTTCAGAGTCTATGCTTTTCTAGTAGTTCTAGTTGCCTCTGGCTGGCCAGCTCAGTTTCTCCAGATCTGCTCAGTTCTTTCCGCCCATGCCATAACACTAGGGATGGAGGAGGGGAAAAGCCTTAAGGACAGGAATTGAGGAAATGAGGGAAGGAGATGGAGGGGAGTGAAAAGGATAGTTCCCGGCTTTATAATTAGGGATTTGGGCAGCGAGTGCAGCTGGAACTCGCAGGGCCAGAGGTGGTCTTGGCAGGTCCCCAGGAATGTTCTTGCTTTATGATTTTGGCCC